AGATGCATACGATTCGGCAGTCACCATGGAAGAAGCAGACATTACAGGCATGATCTATTGTCTGAGATCATGGGCGGTTGGTGTGTGTGATGATACAATGGTGGAACTGCCCGTCACCTTCGTCGAGATCGTCGAGCGCAACTGGTTTCCTCCGCCGAGGCATGTTAAGAAACAAGACAAGAGGACGAGACAACCTGTTCCTCATCGCTTGAGTCCGTTCCCATTCTTCAAATAACAAAAGCCAACCGCCAGTACACCGATCCCGGAGGCCTAATCCCAGGACACCCCATGTGTCACTGAGACGCCTCCTTTGTCGTAAATAATAGATTTCGTGATAATTAATACAACAGCCTCGCGCGACCAGTGTTTGTGCCGGCGCCCACCGACGTAGGGCGAGGTGCATTAGTGTTGGGAGGATTTTCCATCCTCGGAGGATCGGTCACTCTCCGATGTCTCCGTCTTCGCGAGCTCCGCGCCCGGCATCGTCTTCGGTAGGGCCGTGGAGGCTCTCCTCAAAGACGGGCTCGGGCTCATTCACGTCAAACTTGGTCCGGAATGACAGGAGCTGGTTGGCGTAGCCAGTGCTGTTGGAGCGGCGACGGGGATTGGCAAATGAGAAGTCCTCATCAACGATCTCATCGCCAGCATTGCCCCTTTGGAATATCCAGTGTCAGTGTGTTGTCAATCATGTCATGCGCTTGATGATCTGATGAATGGAGGAGGTGAAGCAGCCTGAGGCTTCCCTGAAACTGGGAATGGAACGATATATGGAATGACTTACCAGTTGGCCTTTCCACCTCCACTCTTCTTCATCTTCTTAGGGTCGACGCCTTCGTGGCCGTGCTTGGCAAAGTAGCGAGGGAGGTGTTCCTGGGGCGCGGCAGTACCGTCGGCCAGGCCGGCGTGGTCACGGTCGTTGTACTTGTGCGAGCGAGTCACTGGGCGTGGCTTGTTAGCGAAGAACTACGTAGGTGGGCCTCAGTGCCGGCGAGTGCTTCGAGAACGTGCATTCATGATGCACTTGATGAAGTTTTGATGGAGATGCCCAGGTAGATGTTGATTCGGATGTTGGGTCGACGCAACCAGAGTGTCACACCGAGAGGGGTAGGACTCTAGGGGATGCGGGGCTCAAGGTTTATGGAAGAACATTGAGGATGACTTACTGGTGAGAGTGGGAATTGGAGAGAGGTAGAGAGCGCGGGAGAGGTGAGTACTGATGGAGCGTGGATTGGGGAGAGAGACGGATTGGATGATTGCAGTCGAATTGGTCGTGGGATGATGTTGAGATTGTGGTGATGATGGAAGAGAGAAGGGCGAGTTGGAGAGGAGAGGAAGTCCAAGGAGGGGGAGCTTTAATAAGAAGACGATTCCATGTCTGAATGGGTGATGGTTCCGGGTTACGTAGAGCAACACCAGCTCATGGGCTACTGCTGCTGCAGCAGCTGCTACCCACCAGACGCTTTGAGCGGGCAGCGAATGAAGCCAACCAGCAACCTATCAGATCACGCGATCACCTGGCGAGCTGCCGCCATGGTGCATTGCCAGGGGGTGGGCAGCTCGACTGAGAGGGGGCCGCCTCAGGCGGGGACAGGGAAAAAGGTGGGCAGCGGCAGCGACAGTGCAAGTCCCGCGAGCGTTCCGGATGAGAGGCTGATGGGGTCAGTCGGGGATCGCGTGACCTGACGCAAGGTGGACGACGAGACGACGGCTGGCGTGGGCCGACTCGCACGACCATGAGGTGGTACCCGTTCCAGACCAGCCGAGCCTTTGTCCGGTCGCGCTCTCTCTCTCTCTCTCTCTCTCTCCGTCTCTTCTTCCTGCCCACACGCCATTGGCTTGCCAGTTTTGCCGATGCCGGTGCATGAAAGCCGTCTTCTGCGTTGGATGCACCTCATTGAAGACTAGCGAACGGTTGCCGACAGAGTCCAGCGATGGCATCTGTCTCCCAGCTTGACGGAACGCTCTTACCTGTGAGCAGCCGTGTGACGCAACTGGGCCCACTGTAATCCGGGGTCCCAGGTACACAGCTGCGCCCTGAGGCGTGGCGAGAATGCGGGGTAGTGGATACCAGAGTACCTTCAAGACGCTAGACCGGTACACTGCCGACCCAGTCTGTTCAGCGTGCTTTGGGGGTACCCTCTCGTCGATAAGAGGTTCCGTCGGCCTCAACAGAATCGCAACATCAAGGTGCTTCATGACTACAACCATGCCCCTCCCCCGCCCCGTCGCCGAAAGCGAATTCCACGACTCTAGGTTCATTGACTCATACTAGATACACTGTGGATGCGTTGTGAGTTGTTATCCATGCTGGCGATCTGGGACTCTGGGTCCCGCATGCTGCGATGGGTGCGTTCTGGCCACGTCTCAGCCTCAAGTCGCATTTCCGTGCTCTTCCATGGCCCCGCCGAGCAACGAGGCAGGTGACCTCGCTGCCTTCCTTAGCAGGCAATTGACCAGCTCCGACTGCGGCTGACCCTTGCGGTGACTCCATCGTGAGAACCACCTGGACCTCAGATCTTCGCCTCAAATTGCCGAAGTGACTCTTTCCCCCGGGGCCCATGGGCACGGAAAAGGCCACATCTCTCCCATCCCATCCTCGTGATAAGCTGCGATGGTGATGCCTTCGTATCTTCGGAGTTGTCGGGGACGATAGGACTCCTTTTGTCAAAGAGCCCCCTCCCCTCGCTTTCCGACCTACGAGAAAACAGCCCGACAGGTTGTGACCGAAAGACCTGACTCGCAAAATGTCCGGTTCTGTTGCCTAGTCATCTCGTAGCTTCTGCTCTGCGGTTGTGAACACGTCATTGGCCAATGGCTTCCAGGATGGCCGGGTCCCCGCTCCCCCCTTCACTCGACGATCAAGCTCGGAGAGGGCTGACGGTTGATCGGTGATGCGCCGATAAGGATGTTTTAGCAAGACGCCAAATCGCCAGCTCGGCTCCGGCGTCTTTTCCGACCGCGGCTTCCCCCCTCTGATTGCGCAATCAGTGTCTATCACTCGTCCATGCCCCAGGGTGATGGAGGGCCTTGGAACGCCATAATCACCTCATATCATTAATCTCCTCATGCGCATTATCTTCACTGCGGAGCATGAGGGGCATGAACATGCTAGTCACTGCTCACAGCCATATCTGCTTTGTTGCTTTTTACGGCGTTGTTTGCAATTTCTCGGTTTGCCGCTCAACAGGCGATTACTTCCATATCGTGGTGTGCCCCTCACACCAGCCCAGATAGCCAGTCCCCGTCCGTCTGCCCTCCCATGAGACGTTGAACTCCTTTTGATCCCAAAGAAGAAAAAAAAAAGAGTAGGTTATCACACAAGCTGCACCCTTTCCCAAAGATAAACCTAGTTCAAACCCATAAGTGTGCGTCCATACGTCATTCGCCAAACTCCAAATCGCCTACGCCTTGACCGAGCCCAGAGGATAGTCGTCGTTGTCTTTGTCCGTCGAGCTCATACCTCTGCTGTATGCCTGCTCCATCTGGTGCGCCCTACCAAATTCATGATCAGGTACGCCGAAATTCTGTACTCCTCGATAGCGAGTTCGTGACTCGTGCTCCAGCCTAACGTCTTTCCCGCAAAACACCGACGCCGAGGATGGTCAGATGCTCCTGATGCATACGGCGTCAGGAGTGAGCCGGCCGTACTTCATGTTCCCCCTTGCACCTGTCTTATCTCTTTCACAGAGAGAAATCTGCCATGGTCTGGAAGACGAAGTTGCTTTCCGGCATGTAACTCATATTTGCCTGAGAGGCCATCCCACTCATGGCCGGCGTCCCGTACATGGGAATCTGCTGGTGAGGGTGAGGCTGTCGAGGCCGGCTTTGCATTGCTCGAAGCTTACTGTACTCAGCATGTAGATTTGCGTATGCCTGTCCAAGCGATTCACTCTTCTCCTTCTGTTCTGACAGCAGCAGCTCAAGATCCTTGATGCGCTGATCCTTCCGTTCGCGATAAGCTCTCTGTGAAGCCCTGTTCTGCGCCCGACGTCGCTTTTGCAAAGTCAGTCAACAGCCCAAAGAAAAGACGCCATGGCCGTGGGCGGCAAACACAACTGAGAGACTGGCATGCTTTGCAGAATTGCTTACCGAGAGGACCGAAGGAGCTGCGTTTTTGTATCTGTTCTCTCGCTTCCTTTTCGCCGTGGGCTTTGCGGTAGCTATTGACGCCGCCACGGACGACGATGATGCGTACGCCTCGTCAGCCGACCTTTCTGGAGGGTCGGTTGATATGGGCTGTGGCGAGGCGGTGACACGCCTCGAACTGAGAGGACTCGGGTACAGAGTGTCGCTGCTGCCCATGTGTGACATTGTGGATATGTCGAACTGTACACAACACCGTTAGCTTCGGTGCTTGATGGGGTTTCGGCGCCAGGCCATTTCCGCCAGCCGTCTCTGCCTTCACCGTGTCCGGCGTGGTGTCGGAGCGGAACTCCGCAGCCCCACCATGGCCCGGCAAGTGGCCCGAGGGGATCGACAAGAAAGGCGTAGAGCGACCATAGTAGGGGGAACGTACGGCTGATGACATGGAGTTTGCGGTCCTGCATGTCGCTGATGAATTCAGGCACTGGTCAGTCTCATCATAGCCATAACGCGAATCGAAATCGAGCAGGACATTGGCGTCCACTATGTCGAGTGCTGCCGTGTTCTTCATGCTGAAGCGTTCGCGAGTGGTGTCAGCCTTCGAAGGCCAAGAGTACGAGTGGCGGCAGTGGGTTATTTGGTCCTGGTCCCTATTCAAATCTGTAATGGCTACAATAGTCGTGTGCCAAGGTAAAGACGCAGTCGAATAGTTGTCGTTTCTTTGCGGTCTCAAGGGTGAGGCGGAGACACAAAGGGCAGCCTGAGGGCGGCTTAATATATATATGTAGCAGATGTCCAGATAGGACCGACTAGGACCGACTGGACTGGGCTGGGCTGTACTAGGGACTATGCTGAAGAAATGCCATGTCGGTGCAGCCATGACCAGCTTCGGGAAAGTGGCGGCCATACTGCAGGCAGACACACGCTGGGGGCAAGGTACCATTCCACTCATTCCACCCCATGTTTCCTCGCCCATCGGCAGTGTTGATCTAAAGTAGCGATGTACGTGCGATTGATCCGAGAGATGCCCGATTAGTGTGAGGGACGAGGCTCGCGCCTATGCTTGTGCCCAGATCAACTCAGATTGATCTTCGACCGGTTGTTCCGCCTGTGCTCTAGATGCCAAGTCCATTTTGTGGTCGTGGTTGCTGGCAGAGCCTGATGTCGACGGTCAATCACACCTTGTCGAGGATGAGCGGGGACTCCGCCATTTGCCCCATCCTCCATTCACGAGAGTGACACCAAGCCTTCACTGCGATCAACAGTGGGTTCCGGCGGGATTGACTTGGGTCGGTGTGTTGAAGCACACAGCCGTCGGTGACTTGTCAAAGGGCGGCCCATGGGTGCGACTGACATGTCAAGGGCCAGTACGTTGAGGGTGTCATTCAACGACAAGGAAGGGGTGTGAGCGCATAAAGGACAAGGGTGTGATGCAATTGCAATTCCCGACTTTTGGGGGGCTTTTTGGCGGCGAAACTTGAACACCAGAGGTCAAATCTGCGGCGCTCGAGGGGGCGAGGAGGGAATGAGGGGGGCGTGTTTGTAGCATGATGCAGGCGATGTTTCCCCAAGGCCCTCCTTGACGAACGGTGCCGCCGGTTGGCAAGCTGCGCAACCCATGTGTGCTGGACATAGGATGAGGGGGGCAGACGCCAGAAGGATGCGGAACGGGGATGGAGGACTCTCGACAGCGCCGTGGAATGATACAGCACACGACGGCTAGAGCTTACTATTCCATAATCCATGGCCCACACGACTGCTGGGTGGGCGGGAAAACAACGTGGTCAATCCACCCCCGGTCGACGCAGCCAGTGAAGGCGCCACTCTGCCCGTCGTGGCCTGTCCAAGTGCCTGGGGTTGGTGTTGTTGGCCTTGACTCGCAGCAATGAAATAGGGCAGAATTCCTCCCGAGGTGTGCTGGATCTATCGCAATCGCAATGCTGTTCTGATTAACCAGTACGGTGCCCGGGGCGTTGCCCTCGTCAAACAGGAGCGGAATTCCGCCTGCACTCTCTGTGGCCTTTCAGCGGCCCTAGTCTGGAAGTGAGCTACGGCTGCCGGATGAGGCTTGAGCATCCCACTTCCAATTGCAAGACAAACTATAGCAGCTCTGACTCCAATGTATCTGCAGGGTCTCGCAGGACCTGGCGTCTGTCACCATCGCCTCTTCGATCCGGCCGGCTTCCCGTGTCCCGAACACATGTGATCTCTGGTGTGATTTGGTCGGACTATCAAGCCCCTTCTGTGCCATAAGCAGAGTTTGGCATGCTCGATAAGGCACTTTCTCGGGTCACCCAATCATTAGCGCCGCCGCTGTATCACGTCCTCTCGATAGTGTGAGGGGGGGTAGGGTTCGTCAGGCTGGAGGAGAGCCTGGTGTTCTGATTTGCTTTATGAGTCAAAGTATGACAGTGTTCGTTGCCAGCCCATTGAGCGCCGAGTTTCAGCGTCGCGGTCTCGCTGCCGGGCTCCTCGTCCTAATGCTTATACCTGTGCTGTTGGCAGAACCAGTGTTGCTGCACTTCCTATTTGGCACGCCCCTCCCTTTCCCAAATGTCATACCCAACACAGGATGCCATTCGATCCTACGCTCCACGTGAGCAAGAGCATGGCCGCAAAGCTCCGATATGTGGCTCGTACAGCTCCGGAAAGAGAGACCTCGACTCGGACATGTGTCTAAACGGAGACCGGCATCTCTTACAAGTTGAAGCTCCAGATCATGACAATCTGCAGTGAAATATGTTGCTCTTAGTTGTTTAGGCCTTTGGTGCAGCAACGTCGATGTCGCGAGATGTCTCATCGGTATATTCAAGCTGTCGGGCTTCGCATCTGGTTGGCAGTCTTAAGTGTTTGTAAGCGAGCTTCCGCCTGAGCGACGCCTTCTTGAAACCCAATCTTCTTGCTGAAGTCGATGCATTCCTTGAACCAACGAGCGGCCTCTGTGGCGTTGCCTCGCAGTGAGGCAATGTCTGCCATGTTTGACAGCGCCACAGCACAGGCTTGATCACACTCCGGAGTTCGCTCGCTGGATTCAACATCCTTGGCATGCCGCCTAGCGTTCTTGGCCCAGTTCCAGGCCGCTTCAAGCAGTCCATCCCGCGTGGTGGGCATGCCGGGGCTGCTGAGGGCATCCGAAGGAGCCGGCGCATCCGGAATGGCATGCGGAGTGCTCAGAACTGGGTGTTGTGCGAAGGAAACTGCAAGATTGTTCACTGTATCGTGATCAGTAAGGCTTCGCCCTGAAATAACATATACGCAATAGATAGAGGCTGGTTGATATCAATTCCAGTCAAGGAGGTGTTCACATACTGATGGTTGGACGGTGACATGGGCTCTGGCACAGGCGTAGGGCCTGGAACAAAAGCGGTACAGCAAGGTGGAATTGGTCCTTTGCCTCGTAGTGTTGCGCCAGAGCTAGACTTCATGTTAGCAGATGATTTATGAGTTGACAACACGATGAGCTACTCACACTCCATGACACCACCGAATTCTTCAGGGGTTAGCCATTTGCCCTCCTCAGGCTTGACGCCCTCAGCTGACCGCCGCCTGGACTCCGAAAGAGCGGTCTCCACAGCCCATGTCAGACGAGCGTGAGCATTGTCCGAGTCGTTGACGTGGTTGTCGGCGTAGAGCTCCCCCAGCTTTGTGCTAGTGCCGACAGCTTTAGCTAGCAACCTGTTACGCTTGTGCCATAGGTTTTCCGGCTTTTCTTCCTCCGCTTCTTGGGTATCTTGCTCGCCATCTCCGTGTGTGGCCTGACTCGGGGGCACGACGCCTGACTTGTCGATGGTTTCGTCTGCGATACCCGTCTCCATTACGCCCACCCATTTTGTGCAGTCCTTCATTATGCTTTCCAAGACAGTGATGGCTCCTTGGTAGTTGCCGATTTTCTCGAGCCACGCCGCTGTCTGGATCCTGATGCCCAGCACATCGTCAGAATACGGATCAAGACCCAGTTCATCGCACTGCTCCAGAGCCTTCTTGTACCACTTTTTGGCCAATTGTGGGTCCGGGCTCATATTGGTATAGTATAGGGCTCGTCGGAGAGACTTTGCGATCGGCGCAGGATATTTGGTGAACTGGCGTGCGTAGAAGTATTCGATGCATACTTTGATGATGTATGCTGATATGCCTAGCAGGCCGGCGAGACTGGCGACAATGACGTTGGTGAGTCTCCTTTAAAACCAACATGGACTGATGCACTCACATAGCTAAAGCTGCCACGAGCTCAATGGGGCTCTGTCGATACAGGATCTTGAGACCGTTGGGGGTGAGAGAGGAAAATAGGCCGCGAAATGTCAGCGCTCGGCGCAGGAACTGCATCAACCCAGGAGGCGGAGGCGGAGGAGTGCCTCTTTTTACGGCTTTCCTTGCATCTGGAGGCCTATCCGATGTGGTCTGATGGCGCTTCTGCAATTTGTCGACAATGGTACAAGATGATCCGAGTCGGGCAATGGGTCGCGACCGGGCGATCAAGCAGAATCCAGGTGCCGAAGCAGAAGAACTCCGTATGGCTGACCTATTCAGAGTCTGTATTGATCTGATGAGGCTGGCCGACATGATGGCGCTGCGCTTGGATCGAGCGCCAAATTATCGTGGGAATTGATGGCTTGAAGGAACCCTTGACAATGCACAACGCGATATGGACCGAAGCTCAAAACCAATGTTCGAGACGTCACAGCTACAGTGGGGCCGGAGCCCCTGCTCTGGCGAATCAACCGAGCGTCGTTTGTCCGAGGCTCACAGGCGCAACAATGCCCCGCCATCAATCAATCGCCTTCGATTGCGCACTGAACTGGCGGGGATTTCATCCTGGTGATGCCCTTCATTGCACTCTACCTTACCTACCTTACCCCAACTTTTACTGTCTAAGCTCATTCTCGCCTGGCCTTCGCAGTGTAGAGGTCGGCGCTCTTGGAACTCATCTTCAGAGGCAGAAGTCCTGTCTCAGCTCGTCACACAAGCCTCAACCCCCACCTTGACCGGCGTTCCTCAAGATGGCCGGCAGATTCGAGCCAAAGGTGCCAGTCACCCTTGCCCCTCCCAAGGATGACCCGATCACCCTGGAGGAGCTTGCCGCGGCAAATGGTAAGTCTGGCGAATTTGGTCGATCTCATCGACGACAATTTCCAAACCATTGTGCTACGCTAGATTTTTCATCTCATGGCGGACTAACGCATGGCGCAGGAGTTGATGGTGGAAAGTGCTACGTCGCCATCAAGGTTTGTTACATGCTCGAGGCATTGCAATTTTTCCTTCTGACATGACGCAGGGCAAAGTCTACGACGTGACCGGAAATAAGGCATACCAGCAAGGGGGTTCTTACAATGGCAAGTACCCGCCTCTTCACTTGGCGATCCGGTCTTCTGCTCTTTCCCTCATGGCGGTGCCTCATTCTGACGATTGTAACTTTTAGTCTTCGCCGGAAAGGATGCTTCTCGCGCCCTGGGGAAGACTTCGACCAAAATTGAGGATGTCAGGCCCGAGTGGCATGACCTGGACGACAAGGAGAAGTCGACGCTAGATGACTGGAACACGTACTTTTCGAAGCGCTACAACGTTGTGGGCTACGTCGTTGGAGCAACTAACAAAGAGTGATAGTGAATCATGGCCATTTTTCATGCAGAATGTGTGGTGTGATCTGAGTAGCAGTACGCTCATATTGAATAGATGAAACTCTACTGCGAACTCTGCCACCACTTTGTTGTGCGCGCCGAATCACCGTATCATGAATCATGGCTGGGTTGCAGGACCTCGTCTGGTCCGTTTGAACCTGCGTCGACTACGTAAATCGGCAGCTGTTTACTGTTTAGAGCGCGGTAGTGAATTTATGGCAGTCCATCCCGACAGCTTCTGGAGATGCACGCAGCCATCGGGTTGTTATCAGCATCCCTCCAAGTGAGCACATCTTCGCATAAGTTCCGGGCCAATATACTGAATCTTCATGCAGGCATGGCGGGCTGAGCAATCAAATAGTTGTCCGATGGCAACAGTCTGCAGAAAGCTCGCCATCAATATACTGCAATATTCTACATTCTGCTTCAGGGAGAACTAGGCCAGCAGAACTGGGACAGTGTGCGCTTGGTTCTGGAAAGCTATGTCGAACACCGTGTCGAAGGGAGTCAGCTACTGCATAGTTGTTCCATCCTCGACATCAACTAGCTGTGCAACCGGGACTCTGCATGGTCACGTTGCACAGCGGGCCGGTGTACGGCGCTCAATCGGGGAATCTGACACTCGTCAACATTGTGTTCACGCTTGGATTGACACCCTAACCGAGTGTGAGGCCGATGCTACGACATAGATGTGACTGGCATATCCCAGACTTGTGCTTGAGGACGTGGCTCGGTGGTCACGATAAAGTCGAACTGGCCATGGTACATTAGGTGACGTCGCCGAAGAATGGGACACATGTCACGGAGTTCCCAAGAGGCGATGCACTAGAATTCACTTGATGGTATCCTCCACATCCTACACGCAACAGAGGCAAATCTCACAGCTTTTCCCGACCAAAACTCTCACAGTCGCTCTACCGCCGACAACTCGGTCAACCATGTTCGCTACGTCTAGGCTCGGCCAAACTTGATGTTCGATGTAGCGTCTCATATGCAACGAGAGCAAAGTAACAACCAGCCCCCTTCTGAAGGCAGTCTCAATTCAACTGCATCCCACTGGCCGCTGATTGAGACGTCGGCGTTGCCACAATTTCGAGATTCCCCACATAATCACACTAGTGGCATACTTCCACCGTCTCTGGCAGTGTATACAGCCTATCGACAGGCTCACGTCTGCTCCTCCATCTCCGGGATTCGGATGAGTCGGTGGCGAGAGTATTCGCGTCTCTCACGGGGCGCCCAGGACAGAAGGCATTTCTCACACGGCACACCTTGCCGCCACGAGTGTCGAAGAACCTTGACGCTGAAGCACTGGTGGTGGGGGTCGTTGCGGGCGAAGTGACAGTATGACTTGAGCTTCACGATGGAGTGGCTGCAGGTAAATAGGAACTCTTCCCAATCGCACATCGTAGCTTGCCAGTATAGTGGAATTGTTCCCTATATCATGGATTGTCAGCTGGTGAAATGTTTTGGAAGGATGAAGCTCAGACGGATTACACCTCCCTCTTGCAGCTCAACTTACTTCGTCTTAGGACCGTCGAGACTCGCCCGATTCTGCGATAGTTGCTGTGTTCAAAAGAATAGAATCTAGTGGATTTTTATTGGGACCTTGAACCGATGGGGTAGTGGTCCAAGTTGCCCGTCATTGCGTGAGGCCCTGTGGCTCCTTTTATCGCCACATATTCCAACCCCGCCGTGCGAGATAGTTGACTTCTCTCCGTCCTGTGAACTGCGTCCGAGTCACAGAGGACCATACTATCGCCGTGAATTTCGAAGTACAGTGTGCGATCAGACCTGGTCAAATTTGCATAGATCTCGTTGGATGTTCGCTTCTGTCGGTTCCCAGCGCACGCATATCCCTTCAAGGCCTACAGAAAGCGTGTCTGCCGAATTTAACAACGCACTTGACCTCGGGTGTTGACACATCACATCTTCCAAGCCAGACTGCAAATGCCTGATGTGTATTACTGCGTCTGCCAGGCCAAAAAACCTTGATCTGGCACCTGCAACGGACGGGTGACTGGGGAGACTTGATACCGCTACCCGCGAATTACGGTGAAACAGGGGCTTGAGATTGTCAACATGATGTTCTGGGTTACACCAGACGAAATTACCACGTACACTGTAAAGTAGGTCAATTCCAAAGACTGTGGCGCTACGGTCATGCTGTAGCTCTCGACGTTGAGGCCCGGGTTTATGTTCGAGCAACCAAATAATCCGACATCACAGCAGGTCCCTGAGTTCGACCCATGCATCTATGTACTGACGAGGCCAAGACAACGGCAGTTTGCTTATACGTCTCGAGTCCCAGGGTAGCCAGGGACCATCGCACACGGGGTTAGAGCGAGTGGCCTCTTGCAATGGACCTGGTTACAAAAATCATCGTCACGAGATCAACGTCGGTTTTTGAACCGGATAACGACTGTTAAAGGCATCATAGATCACATTCTGGCTCGTTTACTTTGACAGGCAGACATGAGTAGAAGGTGGCTGCGTTTTCCAACCATCACCAGGCCATTGTTGAAGCACAAGGTTCGCCAGGCATGTCAGAACAGAAATTATGGAACTTTTCAAACCACGCGTTTACATTATTTGCTGCTTTGGGACTCTGGTGAAGTCGTTCAAAAGACAACAGATAGTCTGAAAAGGAAGACTGCTAGGGTAGAGATAAGACGCAGGGGGAAACAACGCATTCGCGGAAGAAGCGGTCCGCTGACACCATGAGCCTAGAAGCCAGGAGAAACGCCAGCCAGGACCGAGGCAGGGGGTAGCAAAGGCTTGAGAATGCTGGCGTAGATCAAGGGATTAGGTCAATTGCAGTCTGTGTCCAGGGTCTCTAGGAGCTGCCTGTCTTCAACATGTCTGGACGGTTGATCTTTACGTCGCACTCGCGCTTCGCAAGATCCCTGTGCCTCACCAAAGCCGGGAAGAGATGATCGACCCATGTGCACATGCAAAGTGCCGTGTGCGTGGTCGACTGCGCTCTGCAAAAAGTAGGTCTTCACGGAGACTGCTCCTCAGCGACATGACCTGGGAAATAGTTGGCGACCAAAGAGCCTGACGTGGGCTTGATGAAGAGCACGATGACAGTCTTGCATCGCTTGCGCGGACTCCTTCTTTTGAATGGGTTGATTGTGACTGACGGGCGAACAAGGAAATATAGCTTGTTGAGTTCTCCTGCAGAAATATCTGCCAGACGAGATCATGGCCTTGAAGTTGCACTGTGAGGCACGGAGACAGGAGCAAGTGGGACTATATCGTATCAGGCAGGCAAGGATATCACATGGCCCGGTATAGAATTCTGGCCAGCAAGTTACCTCCAGAGGTGAGTACACAATCGGGAGAAGAAGCCGCTAGCACCAAAATTGCCCAAAGAAGAACAGCCCAGGCGCCCTGCAATGTCGATGTGAACCTCTGACAGACTACATCAGTGACTTGAAGCGCCGTCATCAAGACTTTGTATTGAACTTGAGGGGCTCGGAGGACAGCTCGCAGCTTCGCCGTGGGTATGGACAGAGGTCCACCGCATGCCATGACATCAGCTGACCGTCTCAGCAGTCTCAGGTTGCGCAAGAGGGATGTGGAAGAAGGGTGAACACGCGTGACAGCAAGTTCTTGAAATCGCCCAGTTTCGCGAGCGGACATCGAGGGTGCGGACAGGAGGTGACGGTTTCGCACCGCGGCTCATACACCCACTCTGTTTGCCTTCTTCAGCCGGGGTCCACAGTGGCTGCCTAAATACATCTGCGTATCTCTGATTGGCTCCCCACTGAGCAGATGCCTCACCGAGAGTTGAGACTTCTTGCGAAACCAGCTCGGGAGTCCTGGACAAGCATGAGCTGCAGTTGAACGCCCAGGGCGGACTAGCGAGGGAAGGCAACCGCTCCTCACCAAAATCTATTGTGGGTTGCCTCATAATTCCTTGTTGGACGGCGATGCGATTGGGGGGTTCGATCACAGGAAGCTGCCGCCCACCTGGACCTCCACCCCTCTTTGCCAAACACCACCACACCTCGAGGTCGCATCTGCCCAAGCGAATCCTGCCCACTCTCGCACCATGAGGTGATGGACCAGGACTGTTCGCACTTGCATTTGCACTTTTCGTTTCAACTTGCATGCCCACGCGGTCTTGTTATGTGGTCGGGTACACTTGCTTCACATCATCATCACTACGCCGATGTCGTCGGGCGGGAGCCGCCTCTTCATCAATACACCATTCCATCCATCGACGTAGCGATCTACCTACGTGGGATGCTCTTCGTCCTCTTTACATTTCAATTCCAGACTCTGATCCAAAGAGGCAGAGAGACGCTTGACGGTTCCTCCTGGCTATTCTGCCTGTCCCATTCGCCTCACGACTGATGAGCCTCCCTGCTCCCTATTCCTGCGCCTTACCTCGATAATCCCTCTGTCCTCCCTTCCCACCCCAGCTTCGCTTTCACACGGCCCGTTCTTTCACTTGCTCTCACAGAGCCATTCCGACAATTCAAAGCCTCCAGGCACGTTCTTGGACCAACCTAGCTCAAAGCTTTGCTTCTCGTCTATGCTCGCACTATGCCATCAATGTGATTTTGTTTGCGGCAGCATTCACAACTAGATCCGACACCCCAAGGCACCCCGCGCGTCGAAAGTGACTTCGCCAATCTCGCCACTCCCGTCACAAAGTCAGCCTTCAACGTTGCCTTGCCACCCCACCCCCCACAGTCACTGATAATCGCTGTCCCTGGAAATCATGTCGAAGGCCTCGGGGTCCTATGCCACCCATGACCGTGACAGTCTCCCAGTACGCCCATCCTCTTCTGCGTCGCATAACAGACCATGAGATCCTAACAACTATTCTTAGTCCTTCATTGGGCTCAGCCCCTGGATCTCATTCCCTCTCCTTCGCAACTTGGTCCACCGTACCACCTGACGAGCGTAGCGAGAATAGGTTCCTCGCGTCCGAGGCCCTTCCATCTGCCTGGCAGGATGTTCTCACCGACGTTACCCTTACGCCAGGTGTCGAGACGTCCCTCTTTCGTGGTATTCCGAAGCCTTGGAATATCTTGAAGTTTTATGATGCTGGCGCCGATGACAGTCCTTGGGTGCCCCCTGGTATCATCGTCCCCGATCACCGGGCCGGCCAAGGGCGTCACCAGAACAGCCCAACGCGTTGCATGACGCCTTTGCTCCTCGATACTCAGAATGGCGCAGCCGGCCCCGTCCGATGGGAATAGCTGGCTTCCGGAAAGCTTCCATCCGAATCCGGCTAAGAAAGCCGGCGGAACCAGGCGAG